GGGTATGGAACATAAATAGGTTTCATTTTTAGGTTTGAGTCTGACCTATAAGATCTCTCATCATGCATATGCAAATATTCCACATCCACAAAGCCCTGAAATCCAAAATGCCTCTGGCCCCAAGCATTTCTGATAAGATATTGAACCTGATCATGGCAGAAAACGCCTGTTTTTCTGTTTCCTATATTGTGGGACGCCACCCATGAAGCTACTTGAGTCGTCTTTTACTTGGTACTGAGCCATGGGGGGACTTAGGTGTCCCCTTGGGAACAACCCCGAGCATTCCTGTGTGTAGACTGCCCACGGTGTGAGATGTCTGCCCTGACTCTACCAATGGGACAGCTCAGAAGGGGCTCACCAGACCCAGAGGAAGTGGGGAGGTGGCGGGGGCTGGGTGGCCTGCAGGACATGGGTGGAGGGTGGGTTTCTCCTGGCAGGAGTGTGAGGATTTCACTGTTGGGGAGACGTAAGGAGGTGAGTGGACTGTTCAGGGGACCCCGGTGGCTAGGAGGGGGCTGGGTGGCTTGGGGTGAAGGGGGAGTGGGGACAGGGACCTACTGAGTTGTCAGGGGAAGTGCTGTCAGAAGTTGAAGGAGTCTGTGGGACGGGACGGAGGGCTTTCCAACGAGAAGCAGGTGCAGGGAAGCAGGAGCTCTCCCTGCTCCTGTGATGCTGCCCAAGAGCCTCAGCAAGGATTTAAATTTCTCTGGAGGTACCCCGACCTGTTCCTGAGAGTGGCCCTCCACCTGCGGGCCCCAATGGAGTGCTGGACTTTGTTCAGGTGACACCTATTTCATGGCTGAGGAGACCTACATCCAGAAGTTGGACCCAGCAAGGAAGGGTCACAGATGGCTCTGGAACCCCCATTCTCTGGGTCACCCCCCACCTCCAGCCATTTCACAAAATAAACAAGCTCCCAACTCAACGAAAAATAAATAAATAAATGAATAAACAAGGGCGCGGGGCCCAGCTCAGTGGTAAAGCACCCCTGGGTTCTCTTTCTAGTACCAAAAAAACATAAGATAAAACCCCAGGTCACAAGATTTACTGACCACTGGGCCACGCCTGCAAGACGGTACCTGACTGTCCCTGTGCTCAAAAATCTTCCCCAGATTTCTTAGGGTACAAGGTGTGTACAGGGTGGCCTCTCAGGCGGTAGTTCTTTATCTGAGCTATCACAATTGGAGGACTCCAATATTAGGAGACTCCCAAGAATCATACGAAGAAGTCTCAGGCCACAGATGTCCATTCTATTAGTATTGTCGCCCTGCCCCCACTCAGTCCACCTTGTTATTGGGTCCACAATTCCAGGAGGGAAAAGGGACCCTGCCTTTAGGTAAACACTTGGCAACACTGTGCAAATAAAAACTTGAATAATCTAAAAGTTGGAGAACTGGGAGAGGCCAACAGCCAAGGTCCTCTGCTTGGGGTTTCCTTCCCTCTCCTCCCCTGTGGTTCCCAAGGAGCCTCCCAGCAGCAGGGGGCCAGGGGCGGGGCCTAGGCTTGGCCAATCAGAGTGGACCAGGGTCTCTCCCTGCCCACTTCCTCCAGGAACCTGGAGCACCTGGGGCTGGGTGCCCTGTGAAACGTGTGAGTCAGAAAAACAAATGGCTGGTGACATTTTTGCTTCCAGACACACGTGAGTCCATGGTATCCCCAAGCTTGTGAAGCCTGTGTGCCAACTAATTCCTTTTACTTTATAAGTCATTTTGAGTTGGTTTTGGGCACTTAAAACATCAATGTCTATCTTTTTCTAATTAAAGGACTGTACATAGCCAGGTGTGCTGGTGCACACCTGCAACTCCAGCTACTCAGGAGGCTGAGCCAGGAGGATCTCCAGTGTGAGGCCAGCCTTGGCAATTAACAAGACACTATCTCAAAAATGGGAGTGGGGCTGGAGATACAGCTCAGCCATTGAGCCCTCAAGGAGCATGCACAAGCAAGGCCAGGTCAGTACTGCAAAAAGAAAAAGAAAAATACTGTATGTGGTCAAGTGAATACTTTGCAACATATTAAACTCTATGAGGCCTTGAACCACCATATAGCCCAGCTCTATCACCCATTGGTATTTGTTTTGAAGAATTAATGCCATCATGCTATCAGCATGCACACCCATGTTCATAGCAGCTCAATTCACAGTAGCCAAACTATGGAACCAGCCTCAGTGTCCATCATCAGAAGAATGGATACAGAAAATGAGGTGTGTATACAGAATGGGGCCATAGAGAAAAATGAAATTATGTCATTTTCTGGAAAATGGAAGGAACTTGAGAACATTATGTTAAGTGAAATAAGCCACACTGAGAAGGTCAAGTGTTGTATGCTTTCTCTCCTGTGAGGAAGCTAGAGAGGAAATAGGAAAAGAAAGGGGTGTGTGTGGGGGGGGAAATCTCATGAAAATCAAGGGGAGACCAGTGGAGGAGAGGGGCCAGGATTGGGAGGTGGGGAAGGAGGCGGAAGGGCAGAGGAGTGATAATTGGCCAAATAGTCCTGTTGTACTGTGTGCATGAACGGATGAGTAACAAGTCCATCATTATGTACAGATAGCGCACCCATAAAAGATGTGGGAAAACCGCCTATGAAAACCAGTGAAGGCGTGGAATATTAGATGTTTCTGCTTCGTGAAAGCAGCAGGATGATAAGTGACAGCTCTGTGGACAAATGAGGGGCCTGGGAATAGAGAGAAACGCCAATCACGCGGCCTGCAGGGAGGGTCTTGCAAAGCCAGCACTTCAAAACCCAAGAGAAGCACAGAAGGGAATTCCATGCAAGAATAGCAACTGCTGTCACCTTTGGCCAGTGTGGCTTCCTCTTTCTTTTCTTTAGAGAAAAAATCGCATGCAAAGCTCATGGCTGACTCTCAAAACAGCAGCTAAAGCCCAGGAAAGCAAAGTCATCTTTGGGTGGGTGGACGGGACAGACAGGGGGACTTGAGCAGTCCTGAGGACATGGGAGGATTTTGGTTGTGGGGGACACAGAGGGCTCCTGGGCCCCCTTCCTTCCTACAAGTGATCTGGTGGGGCAGGTTCCAGGGACAGGGACATCCCACTGTGTGCGAACATGGCTCTGAGCCAGCAGGGACCCTGTGGGGCAGGCCACCTGGTGGAGAGCTAACTTCTCACTTGTGCTCCCCCCACCAGAAGAACCAGACCCTGCAGAGGACACGGGAGTGAGGCTCTTTATTCTTAGGTGGAGCAGGAGGGAGGACGGAAATCCAGGCCTGACTCAATGTCGCAATGGGCAAAAGTGTGACATCTGCTTTCGAAGGGAGAGATAAAGAATATCCATGCACTTCTGCCCTTTTCAATATTTTATTCACTCAAATCACTTAATACAATTTCATTCTATAGGTTCTTAATCAAGGAATGACAATCTTTAATGCTGGGCACTGCTATAGACAAATCAATTCAAAGCGAACAATTCTAAGTTAACTCTGAGCACTGCAAACACACTTCATCCTGACAGACCTGTTACAGAATCCCCTCTGCATGCTGAGTTTAGGTGCTAGATTTAAAGTCTCAAGTCTGAGGCCTTAAGTCCAGCAGATGCCCACACACTCAGATGCAGAGAGCAGGTCAGGAGCCGACGGAGGTTCTCCTGGTGTGGGTTGGCGGCTGGCTGAGGAGATGGGCATAAGGAGAAGTCGCCTTTCCCACTAGGATCAAGAGGCAGCTGTCAAGTTTGCAAGCAAGCGGTGAGGACGATGCAGAGGATCAGGCAGATGATGAGACGAGTTGGGGTGTAGTCCAGGTCCTCATGAGGGTCTCTGGCATGTGGGCATCAGTGTCGGCTGGCTGAATATTCATTTGTTCCATTATTTATACTAAATTTTGGGAGCTTCTGCTTCCCCTTTGGGTCCCTATCAGCTGATACCAGGTTTTCTTAGTGACATCTTACATATTAGAATGGAGGTATGGTCTGGTGGTTTCCGCCCTGATACCCTTCTGGCTCTTATCAGGGTTGTGGAAAGTGACTTGCTTTTATCAGGCTGTGCCTGATTGACTGTCTGGGGGCTCTGTGGCTTGCCTGGTGAGCATGCAGATTTATTTTAAAATGGAGTTGCTTAGGCTAAGGCCTAAGGCCATCCTTACACTCAACCAAAAGACAGAAATGTGTAGCTTTATAGTGCTTATAAGGTACGCAGGGCTGGGGTCTGCAAGTCTTCGCATGCGTGGGGGTTTCAGCTGTGCCTGCGCCTGCCAGGGCCCTCATCCTGCCATTCCACCTGGGTCTCCGCTCCCCGTGACCTTCGCTGTGCTGTGAGGGGGGCAGCAGGTTCTGGTCCCTCCGAGTGGCGCTCCTGGGTCACTAGGTTAATTGCTTTGCTTCCCTTGGCCCTGGAACCTGTCCTGCGCCTCGGATGGAGGCTGAGTTTGAGTCTCTGTTGCTTTCCCAAGACAAAAGATTTTGCTCTGTTCTTCTTGTCAAGAGTTCAAGAATTTGTGGGAGGAAATACAAAACAAAACAAACACAACACAACAAAACGAAACGCAACAACATAGAACGAAAATAGAGTTTCTGGGAGAAAAAAAAAACAGTACAATTATTACATGTCATTAACTTTAAAATGAAAAGAGCTGAATGCACTGACCACTCCTGAAATCCTAGCTATGGGGCAGGTGAGGCAGGACCATCCCAAGGTCACGGGCAGCCTGATCAGTTAGTGATACCCTGGCTCAAAATTTAAAAAATGAAAAGGACCGGGGTTTACCTCAGGATAAAAGTGCCCCTGGGCTCAGTCCCCAGAGAGAGAGACAAGGAGGAAAGCGGGAAAGAAAAAAAGAGAGAAGGAAAGTGACCAGACACTCGGTGAGACCAAGAGATCTCTATTGCGGTGGTCTCTGATTACCAGGGAGGGAAGAGAGAGAGAGAGAGAGAGAGAGAGAGAGCGAGAGCAGGAGAGAGGAAAGAGAGCAGAGAGACAGAGAGCGAGCAGCAGGAGGAACTTTTTATTTTTTTATTTTTAGTTGTAGCTGGACACACATCCTCATTTTCTTCATTTATGTGGTGCTGAGGATGGAACCCAGGGCCTGGCCCACGCTAGGCGAGCACTCTACCACTGAGCCACGACCCCAGCCAGGAGAGTTTTTACAGCCAAAATCTAGTGGGGTCTGGGTCTGCGAGCTGCCTGGTGGCCTGCAGTGATTGGGTCACACAGGAGTTGCTAAGGGTGTCACTTCTGCTTCTCAGGCTGACCGGGCAGGGGCGGGATGTGGGTTTCTGTTGCACCAGGCGGGTGGGGGTCTTGGGGGTTGGGTGCTCAGCCTTGAGGCAAACAAGTGGTCAGGAGCCAGACAGTGGGGTGGACAGTTCAGCCCGCCCTGCAGCTAGCACTCACTCAGCCTGCCCTGCAGCTAACAGAAAATCCTGGGGAACTCGGTGCTAGGCCCTGAATATCTGTGTTCCCCCAAATTCACAGGTCAACCCCTAACCCCCAAGTGTTGGCCCTAGGGGGCGGGGCCTTGGGATGGTGACAGGCCGTGAGGGCGGGGCCTCACCTGTGGGACTGGCTCCTATGAGAGGGCCCTGAGGGTCCTGCTTGCCCCTCCGTCCAGGTGAGGAAGGACAAGAAGGGGCCTTCTGTGACACAGAGGGAGCCTCCCCAGCACCAAGCCTGCCTCTGCAGGCACCTGGACCTTGGCCGTGCAGCCTCCAGAACTGGGCAGGACACGTTTCTGTGGTTCACAAATCACCTGGTCTACACACACTGATAGAGCAGCTGGAGCAGAGCGGGACACTGGCCAGCCACGGCACCCCGTCAGGCTGGTCTTGGCTGCCATGAGGGAAGCCACAGAGAGAGTGGTTCATACAGCTGACACGTAGTTCCCAGAGTTCCAGAGGCCCCTGGCCCAGGTCAGGGTGCTGGCCAGGTCAGGGTGCTGGTCAGGTCAGGGTACTGGCCCAGGTCAGGGTGCTGCCCAGGTCAAGGTGCTGGCCAGGTCAGGGAGCTGGCCCACTGGGCTCCCAACAGGGGTTTCTTTTTTCTTATTGGCAGGTGGCTGCCTTCTCTGTGCCCTTAAAGGGCTTCTCCGTGTGGTGCTTTGGGGGCAGGGGGACCCTCTCCAGCTTCTTCCTCCTCTTATATGGACATTGATCCCATCAGATTAGGGCCTGTCCTTAGGTCTGCATTCAACCCCGTCACCTCCCCAAGCCCCACCCCCAGCATGCCGCACTGGGCTTGGGCGTTTGATGAATAATTTGAGGGGGTTATAACTGAGTCCAGAGCACTCCATATGGCTCAGTGATCTCCTGTATCCTGAAGATACTCTTCCTGGCACGGGGTCCTAAAGGAGCCTTAAGGGAGAGGGAACAAGTGACCAGGTCTGTGCAGGACTGCCATCTCCAGGGGAACCTCTTACAGTTTGGGCCTTCAGGGCCACCATATGCTATGTCCTCAAGGACATCGGTGCAAACTTCACTGCCACACTCACAAGCACACACTCCCTTAATCCCTTCTGGACAACCTTGGTTTCCCAGGATTTGGGCCAAAGCCCCCGCTTCCAACATCCTGAGCTCACCTGCTGTAGCCGCTCATAATGGTGGCTGTACTGTGTCACCAGCTCTTCCAGCTCCTGGGCCTGGGCCCTTAGTTCTTTGGCCTGCTGTGCCCTCTCTCCACCCTTCAGTTTCTTCCAGGTGTCAGAGAGATTGCACAAATCCCGGACGAAGTGGACAGCCGTCTCTGCACCTCCCTCCAAGAGAGCACTTTTGGTCATTCCCAGAGGTGTGCCATCAAAGGCCTTTTGCACATACTTGCTGGTTTTGTCTGAGACTTTGCCACCTGTCAGGCGATACTTGGCAGCCTTAGCCAAGCTTGGCTTGGCTTGGGCTACCCTGTAGGCACGCCTGCTCTTCCTGAGACTCTTGGAGGTGTCTTGAAACTTGTCCATGATATTAGTCATAGCTGTGAGAATGGACTTCTCATCCACCTGCTCCAACTCTGGCTCACTGGTAGGCTCGTGCCCGGTGGCCTGAGCTTTAACTTTTTTATTGCAGGACCCTTCTATCAGGTTGGTCACATCACTGGTGACCTCAGCTGCTGCCCCTAAAGTTTTGCCGGCAGCTGAAAGCGTCAGGCTTCCTCTTGTGGTCAGCGGAGCGAGGGCAATCCCCAAGAGGCTCATGGCTCTAGAGAAGACAGCTGTGGAGTGGGCCACCACGTTGATCTTGTTGGTTTGTTCGTGGGTGGCGTCGACCTCATCTGCCCGGGCACGGAGCTCTCTGATGGTTTTTTCTTGTTCCTGTTTCCACTTGGGGAAATCTTTCAAAAATTGTTCTCTATGATACTTCAAGAAATGTTTTTCTTCATCTGACAGATCTTCATCTGGTGACCCTACGATTTCCAGAGCATCATTGTTATCTCCAAATAGACAGTAAAAGGCGGTGGGTAACACCCCGGGTCCAATCCCCAGTTAAAGAAAAAAATCCTTTTTTCATGATAAGGCATTTATAAAGACTGTAGAGATTGTATTCCCAGGGACATATGAATATTAGGTCTGATTTTGTGACTTATAGTGTTTAATAAAATTGAAGCCAGAACTAGACAGGCAGATAGGCAAGGGTGGGATCCAGAGAATGGGAGGATGAAAGCGCTCACGACTTCCAGCCTTCCTCCACCTTATCCACATCACCTGCCCCAGCTCCAACCTGTTCTAAGGTAACCTGTCCCAGGGATCGACCCTCCCCACAGGGAGTTGTTAATTATGCCCCCTTCCTGCCCACAACACTCCGCCTTGGCCCCTCCAGCCCACCTGCCTCTCACCTTTTGGCCACCCCACCCTGCAACTCCTGGGCCCAGTCAGGTAGCAGGAAGGAGAGAGATAAGGGGAAGAGGGCAGGAGAACAAAGGAAGCCTAGGACCAATAAAAAGGCACGACTCCTTGACTTGTAGGATGCCAGTCATGGCCCCTCCTCCCTCCTGAGAGAAGTCGATTTTACCCCTTTTTAAATCAAGCCTGCTTTGTATGCTCACCAGGAGGGCGGGGCTCCAGGAGCCTGGAGGGCACTCTGGCAGAGGCTGGGACTTGGGACTGGCCTCTGAGTGGGAGGGTCTGGTGGGCCTGAGCCCCCATCTCGCAGGACCCTGAGGCTAGCCCCTGGTAGGTCACAATTGATTAACTGGAGGACAGACCTTGGTCCCCACTAAGAAGTGCAGGATTGTTTGGCATGGGAATCTCCTCCCCGGCCACGGATCTGGTCACAGAATGGATTGGTGTGGGTGTCGAGGACAGCAGCAGAGAGGAACAAGGATTTCCCATACAATATAAGAACTGAGACCCCATCTGAAGCCCAGCCCACCATCCACTGCCTAGGCCAGGGAAGGGAGGAGAAAGGGGCACTGAGATTGCCTGATGGACTGATTGCACAAAGGTGCCAGCCCCCTAGATCCCTGTGTCCCCGGAGCTGTGAACACCAGAGGATGGGAGGAGGCATTTCCCAGCGTGGCCCAGGCACTGTTCTGGTGTGAATGTGCTGTGTGGAAACTCAGGTTCAAGTTGGATTCCAGTCCTGAGGTTAAAGCCAGGGACAGGGGAGCCCTAGAGGAAGAGAAGTCATGAAGCCAGAATGAAAGACAGGCAGTGCGTGCAGACAGGAGTCCAGCAGGAGAGAGGGAAGGCCCGTTTTGGTCTGGGAAGCTGGAGACTGCCCCAGGTACTGACATGTTCCTGCCTTGGAGCCCTTCCTCCACAGCTCTGCTCCAACCCAGGGCTAAGAACCGGTCCCAGGAATTGTCCCTCCCTTCAGGGAGTTGTAAATGTTGTTCATTCACTTCTCCCTGCCGGCTTCCCTCCCCCCTCACTCCATTTAGCCCTTCCCCCTGCCCAGGGGCTTCTCACCTTTTGGCCATTCCACTGAAGACTTTTCCTGGGCCTACTCAGGTGTGCAGCAAGGAGAAAGATAAGGGAAAGAAGGCAGGAAGACACAGAAGGTCCAGGATGTGTAAAGGGCAGGACACCCTCACTTCCTGGGATACCAGGATACAAGCTAGGGCCCCGTTCTCCTCCCGGGAGAAGTCTGGGTTACGGCCTTCTAAGTAAACCCTGCTCTACACGCTTGCCTTGACGGCTTCTCCAGTGTTCAGCCTTCATCAGTGAGGAAGCAGGAGCCCAGGAGGAAGGGAAACAGAAACTCACAGAGGGGAGGCGGCTGGCTCCAGAGAAATATGTCTCACAGGTCCTGGTGTCCCCTTGGTTTGGGGACTTGCTTTTGCGTTTGCAGCGCTGGGATCCACCCACGCAGGACAAGGGATCGCCATGACCCGCGACCCCAGCCCACGTGCGGTTTTCAACATCTGGGCCAGTCTGTTTTCTGTCTTTCTCCCACCAAGCCATCTCTGGGCTCCACTTTCCCAGGGTGAAGTGGCTGCACGGGAGGGAAGCCTACCTTTGTAGAATGGAGATGTCCTCCTGAACACCATGATTGAAGGGTCTCTCTGCTCACCTAGTTCAGAACGGCAGGGTGTCCTGGCTGGCAGGGGAGCTGCTCGCCCTCTCTACAGGGGAAACAGACCTTCTCCTTAGCAGAGGCACAGGTGGCTGAAGTGGGTTCAAAGCCCCTCCCGTCCCTTTCCAGCTCTACAGTCTCAGGACTGTCCTCGCTGCCCTCAGTTTCTCTCTTTATCCGTGAAATCTCTGCAAAATGCCTGGCTCAGTAACTGCCAGGACACCTCCCTGCATCCTTCATCAAGTAAACAGGACGAAATAATCCTGAATCCAGAGGACGGGACGCTGGGGCTGCATCAGGAGGCGAAGTCATCTGCAGCTTCTTCCAAGAGGAGCCCTGAAGCTGTGGGGCCCCGGGTTTCTCAGGAGAGGAGCGGAGCCCGGAGCCCGGAGCCTTGAGCTGCACAGTTCCCAGCTGCGGGGAGGCAAAGCCCAGTCGCCCTGAGGACAGCTGTTTGTCCAGAGCCAGGGGTCAGGAGCCAACCCTTGGCACCTGCTCCTTCAGGAGCCCAGCCCCTGCCCTGGCTCCCTAGCCTGCAGTCCCTCTGCTCCAGGTCTGGGGGAAAGGGCCACCACACCTCTGTGCTCACCTCCCTGAGGGTCCGTGGTGCTGCAGCAGCGAGCTGTGAACAGGGACAGAGGCAGAGGCAGTGGCCTGTCCAAGCCACCACCTCCCAAGATATGCAGGAGACCCTATGGGTGGGGCCGTTGCATGTCAGCTGTTGGAACTTTTGAAAACAAGAAAGAGGCAGGTTCCCGGAAGACCTGGGCTTTCCCGGAAAAGCGCCACTTTTTCTTTCACTTTCACCTCCCACCCGGTGACTGAGCAGGAGGCTGATTTGCAGAATCCAAGCCAGAGGCCAGCTGGGGCATGGCTAGCTCCTGCGAAGCAGCCCGAGGCTCCTCCCTCCAGCACAAAGATCAGACACAGCAGCTGCCAGGTGGACCCCGCAGCCCAGAAGCCACTCAGCGCTGCAGTGGGGTGATCAGGCTGCTCAGTTGCCTTAACCTTGGCTCCACATCTGTGGAATGGGAATCCAAACAGCACCTCTGGCTCTGAGCTGGGCAGCACCCTACAGGAACACCCAGTCTATAGATTAAAAGCAGCTGCCTGTGACAATATAAAACCCCTTTCTCCCACCACATCTTACGTAGGTACACAGCCCTGTCCCAACCCCAGGAGGGAGACTTTAGAGGGCCAGGGACTTGCACCTGTCATTCTTCCATGCAGAGGCTCTGAGCCCAGAGACTCAAACAGCTAATTCACTCGGAGGCTGGATGACTTCATTCTCATGGTGGGTGTGAACTCAGGGACAGATAACTGTTCAGGATGGGAAACAAAGGTAATCCTGTTTCTCCTGAGACTAGGGAGAGGGAGAGACTAGGGAGTGGAGGGAGAGAGGAAGAGCAAGAAAAATGTCCACTTAAAAAAACAAGTTGCAGAGGCAGAGCAGCAAGGGCTACATTCACAGCATAGAGGGGACCCTGTTACAATTCCCCACAGTCAATTTATTCCTTCCATTTCTATGAAAAATGGGCTACGACATCTCCAAGCTGCTTCCTGCTGAAGGAGATGAAGTTGAGGGAAGTGATCCAAAGTCCTTGTTCTCTATCAGGTGGTCTTTCAGCATCAGAGCAGTCCAGAGGTCCAGAATGGCAGATGGCAGGTGACTGGACAAGGCACACATAGGGCAGGGATCATGCTAAGACAATAATAAAGAGAGCAAAACATTACTTTTTTTTTTGTAAATAATTAGCTCAAAAGCAATTAGTATTGCAGCTGGTCTCTGAAAACCCTAAGGACAGTGACTCAATCTTATCAGTGAAAAACAGTTTGTCAATATAGGAGGTGAGGAAGATTTATAGGTGTATGACATCATGCTCTAATTGACTCAGGAAAAACATGACTCCAGAGTCCTTTGTGATCATCATTATTAGGTACTGCCACACCAGATGCTTCCTTGACAGCCCCCAGCTTTACTTATTTTAGGTAAGGCTGACACAAGTGTACATCTTAAATACATTAAGAAAGCCCATTGTTTTGCTTTAAAATGTCCATGTAGGACTGTCCTTTTAGGGTATACTCTCTTGCCATGTATTTAAGAGCAAAACTGACCTTGTTTCTATCTACTCTTCAGAGTGACCTGAGATTCCTCAGAGATCACCCTTGGGGACATGTGTGAAGTCTCCTGGCTCCTTTAGCTTTCCTCTATCTGTGGTGCCACTTGCCAGGATGAATCAGGGTCCTGCTGAACACATGTGGCTTCTCTTGGAAGCATCAGAGACATTTTCATCTCCAATGATCCTCCACTTTGCAGAATGTGCACTGGTTGGCTTCCTGTTCTCTAGGGTGCTCCCAATCTCCCTGATCAGCAGATCACAGGCCCAGAGAGGAGTCCTGTTGTTCTCTGGGTCCTGGTTGAGGTTAAGGGCCAAAATGTTGTCTGCTTTTTCCTTGGCCCCTTTACTTCCTTGACTTTGGTCTCCAAGTTTTTGATTGTAAACACCCAGCAAGCCACTTTCACTAAGCTTAAAGAGGAAATAACACATTATAGATTCAACATCTATAATTTCACAGATACCACTTTCATTTAATTTGGGTCAATATTAGTACTGGAAGTCAGCATTACATACTGTCTATCCTGTAGGTGATGGCTTATTATCTCAAATTAACCCAGGTTGTTGTTGTTGGGGTGGTGGTGTGTGTGTGTGTGTTTGGAGTAGTACCCCTGTGCAACATTAACAGGCAATAGTTATAAAGTTTACAAGGAAAAATTAAATTAAATTAAAAGAGAAAAGCATATTTAGTTTATGTATTAACTGTGAACCAAGAAAAATGACTTTTATTATCTGTACTTTTACTTAGTTACATATTATATTCCCTGTTTGAGATCACAGTACTCTTTATAACAAAAATCAGTCTTTTGAACACAACTTTAAATCTGAAGTCTATTCTATTTTGGAGCCATTCTAACATGGAGCAAGGTGGGAGGCAGAGACTTATCTCAGGTGAGGTGGGGCTCTTGAAAAAAATGGAATCAAAGAGAGGCTAAGGGAGCTTTTACCTTTCTTTCTGTGGAAAAGGTTTGAGAATGCTTCCATGTTTTTACAGTGTTACCTTTAAATAGATCAGGATATCCTTATTATTAACATCCCAAAATGCATTTAAATCCCAATTTCATTGTGAAGAATTACACAAAGTTGTACATATAACTTATTGACAACAGTCTACTTTATCCATCTGTAAAACTGATATCAAATGATATGAATAAATACCAACCAAATTTGTTATTTCTATACAATTCTAAGACTTGTGCTACAGAAATCATTTTAGTTTAGATAATACCAACTTGGCAAAGTGCTCTCCTAAACTTTTCATTTATCTAAGTTTAACTTTTAAAGCCCAATTTAGAATCCAAAGTGTATAGTAACAATAATCACAGGCCTGCATGTGTTAACAAAAATCAAAGGGTAGCCTTAAATCTCTTACACATTTAGGAAACAGTGTTAATGACCAGAAATTGGCTTACTCAAAGCAAACAAATATAAGACAGGTTTTTAAATGACAGTGTGGTCCTTCTATGCCAGATAAGTATAAATGTATAAAAGAGAGCACTTATTGGTCATCTAGCTGGCAAACATACAGAAACTTTCATTTTATAAACTTTTATATAACACGTAGACAAGGCTTAGAGAGGTAACATTCTCAGATGCCTACATATAGCCAGTCACATATATTTCAGATGTTAACAATATTGTTTTAACTTAAGTAACAATTTATGGTTTGACCAGTTACAAAGTAATCATTTAAGAGTTTAAAACAGGAACAAACCCTAATTCCTTTAACACTTAGTTTCACAAATAATAAAATCAACAAATACAAGAAATTTTGTTTATATAAGAGCAGATCTGAGTTTCAGACTTTGTTTCCTATCTGTACATTAAAATTCAAATAACTTTTTTTTTTTAATTTTGTAGTTGTAGATGGACACAGTATCTTTCTTTCTTTCTTTTTTTTTTTAAAGAGAGAGGGAGAGAATTTTCAATATTTATTTTTTAGTTCTCGGCGGACACAACATCTTTGTTGGTATGTGGTGCTGAGGATCGAACCCGGGCCGCACGCATGCCAGGCGAGCGCACTACCGCTTGAGCCACATCCCCAGCCCAAATTCAAATAACTTTAATGACTGTGCTAATTATAGCCAATTTAAACACAAACACAAACTTTTTGAGATTTACCTTCCACAAACCTTCTGCAACTTACTTAGACAATCACAACCTTACATATTAGCTTTGTCCCCTTTCATGTTGGACTTTGGGGCAGAGCCCGGGAGCAACAGTTAATAGGGGAGAGTAGCAGTGAGCCAGCCCCAGGGCTCTGAATCCCAGGCCTGGCTGTCCACACCCTTGTCCCACAGCAAGTCCTGGCCCTCACCTACTCCCCTCTGTCTGTAAAGATCAAGTGTGTGACCTTGACCATGGCACACCAGTCTTCCCTGTGTGTGGATGCACAGGCACAGGACGTGACTGTCACGGGAGGCTGGAGAGACTCTTGACACTGCTCCCACCTCAAGTGACAAATGGTGCTTGTCCTCCCAGGTTTGGAGGGCTGGGAGCCATCACGTGTAGAGCGTTCCTTGTGGAGTCCTGTGCTGGGGACATTGCACACCTCATCTCTTGGGTCCCAAGGCCCCTTCCATGAGTCAGGGAGCTTTTGCCCAGTCTATCATTACCAAGGCGGAGACTTCTGGGCTCAGGGATCACCCAAGGTCACAGTGTCTGAGAACAGGCAGGCTGGGGTTGCAGCCCAGGTGTGACGCGGTTCCCCTTCCCCACAGCACATCTCAGAAGCCCACATCTCTCTTCTACTTATGAAGAAAAATTTGAGTTTGACAGAACACTCCTTGTGGCCCTTGAGCCTGGCCACGCATGGGGTGGACAAGGGAGTGGCTGGAATGCAGGTAAAGGCTTCCTGTTCTCTAGGGTGCTCTCGATCTCCCTCAGTAGATCAGGTAACTCACTACAGTTGCAGGGCCCAGGGAGGGGTCCTGTCATTCTCTGGGTCCTGGCTGACCTTTAGAGGGTAAGGGTCAAAATGGTGGCTGCTCTTTCCTTGGCCCTTATACTTCCTTGACTTTGGTCTCCAACTTTTTGATTGTAAATAGCCAGCAAGAAAGTTTCACCAGGCTTAAAGAGGGAATAACGGATTATGACTTCAACATCTAGAATTCTACAGATACCCCTTTCATTTAATTGAGGTCAGTATTAGTACTGGAAGTCAGCATTACATACTGTCTGTCCTGTAGGTGATGACCTATTATCTCAAATTAACCATGGTTGTTTGTTTGTTTGTTTGTTTTCAATAAGCAGTACCTCTGCAAAACACAAACAGGCAACAGTTACGATGTTTACAAGGAAAATACAAAATGAATTAACAGAGCAAAAACATATTCAGTTTGTGTAATAACTATGAACCAAGAAAATGGCTTTTATAATCTTGAACCTTTACTTAGTTACATATTATATCCCCAGTCTGAGAGCACAGCAATCTTTACATCAAAAATCAATCTTCTGAATACAACTTTAAATGGGCTGAAGTCTAGACTTTTTTGGAGCCATTTTAAAAATGATGTAAGGTGGGAAGCAGAGCCTTATCTCAGGTAAGGTGGGCTCTTCACAAATAACACAATACAACATTACACCTGAAACACGAAACTAAGAGAGCTTGTAACTCCTTTTGTGAACAAAGTGCCAAAATGCTTCCATGTTTTACAGTGTCACCTTTAAACAGAACAGCCTCTCCTTATTATCTTCAAAAAGTGCATTTAAATTTCAATTTCAGTTTGAAGAGTAACACAAAGTTGACAGCAGTTTACTTTATCCAGCTATAAAACATGAAATGACATGAATAAATACCAATCAAAATAGTCATTTTTATATAAACCCGAGACACTTGCTACATCTAATTTTAGTTTGGAGAACACTAACTTGGCAAACTGCTCTCCTAAGCTTTACATTTAATGAAGTTTAACTTTTAAAGTCCAATTCACAATCCCGAGTGTACACTAACAATAATCACAGGTTTGCACGGGTTAACAAAAATCCAAGGGTAGCCTTAAATCTCTACCACATTTAGGAAACAGTGTTAATGACCAGAAGTTGGCTTAGTTAAAGCAAACAGATATAAGACAGGTCTTCGAATCACAGTGTGGCCCTTCTATGTCCAAAAAGAGAGCATAATGTATAGAAGGGAGCACTTATTGCTTATCTTGCTGGCAAACTTACAGGGACATCCCACTGTGTGCGAACCTGGCTCTGAGCCAGCAGGGACCCTGTGGGGCAGGCCACCTGGTGGAGGGCTAACTTCTCACTTGTGCTCCCACCAGAAGAACCAGACCCTGCAGAGGACACGGGAGTGAGGCTCTTTTTTCTTAGGCGGGAGCAGGAGGGAGGTGGCATTTGGGGGACAGAAATCCCGGCCTGACTCAACCAGAGACAGAGATCTGAAGTTTGTAGTGCTCCTAATGTAGGCAGGGCCCGGTTCTTGGCCTTGTCCACTGTTGGTCTGGAGTTTCAGCTGTGCCTCCTGCTGGGGCCCCCAACTCCTCTCCACCTGGGTCTCCGCTCTCCGAGACCTTCGCTGTGCTGAGAGGGGGGCAGCACTGTTCCATCCAGTGGCGCTCAGGGGTAACTAGGGTCACGGCTTTGCTTCCCTTGGCCCTGGAACCTGTCCCCGGGGATCCTGCTTTCCTGCGCCTTGGTTGGAGGCTGAGTTTAAGTCTCCGTCCCTTTCCCAAGATGAAAGATTTTGTTCTGTTCTTCTTTTCAAGAGTTCAATAATTTCTAGAGGAAAAAACAAACAAAACAAGACAAGACAAAACAAGACAAGACAAAACAAAACAACACAGAACGAAAATAGATTTTCTGGGGGAAAAAAAATCAGAGTACCATTATTACATATTGTTGAACTTTAAAAATGAAAAGAGCTGAATGCACTGACCACTCCTGTAATCCTAGCTATGGGGCAGGCTGAGGCAGGACATCCCAAGGTCACGGCCAGCCTGATCAGTTAGTGATACTCTGGCTCAAAATGAAAAAATGAAAAGGACCGGGGTTTACCTCAGGATAAAAGTGCCCCTGGGCTCAGTCCCCAGAGAGAGACAGAAAGAGAGAAAGAGAGACAGGGTGGGGGTGGATCAGAAGAAACAAAGAGAATCTTTGGGAACTCGGTGCTAGGCCCTGAATATCTGTGTTCCCCCAAATTCACAGGTCAACCCCTAACCCCCAAGTGTTGGCCCTAGGGGGCGGGGCCTTGGGATGGTGACAGGCCGTGAGGGCGGGGCCTCACCTGTGGGACTGGCTCCTATGAGAGGGCCCTGAGGGTCCTGCTTGCCCCTCCGTCCAGGTGAGGAAGGACAAGAAGGGGCCTTCTGTGACACAGAGGGAGCCTCCCCAGCACCAAGCCTGCCTCTGCAGGCACCTGGACCTTGGCCGTGCAGCCTCCAGAACTGGGCAGGACACGTTTCTGTGGTTCACAAATCACCTGGTCTACACACACTGATAGAGCAGCTGGAGCAGAGCGGGACACTGGCCAGCCACGGCACCCCGTCAGGCTGGTCTTGGCTGCCATGAGGGAAGCCACAGAGAGAGTGGTTCATACAGCTGACACGCAGTTCCCAGAGTTCCAGAGGCCCCTGGCCCAGGTCAGGGTGCCGCCCAGGTCAGGGTGCTGGTCAGGTCAGGGTGCTGCCCAGGTCAGGGTGCTGGCCAGGTCAGGTTCCTGGTCAGTTCAGGGCACTGGCCCAGGTCAGGGTGCTGCCCAGGTCAGGGTGCTGCCCAGGTCATGGTGCTGCCCAGGTCAGGGTGCTGGCCCAGGTCAGGTGCTGGCCCACTGGGCTCCCAACAGGGGCTTTCATCTTTCTGGTTGGCAGGTGGCTGCCTTCCCTGTGCCCTCAAAGGACTTCTTGTGTGGTGCTGATAAACTCAGCCTAATTCCCTCTTAAGATTGGGAGCCATCTCCCAAAAGAAAGAAAAAGCTAATCTCGGCTTTACTATAAATTGCTGCGATTTCTGCACTTGCTCGGAATGCCTGTCTGTGCCTTGGACTCACCCGTGCCTGGCTCTCCCTGACCAGATAGCAATCCTCTCCGAAACTCTAGTGGCACCTCATAAATTCTGAAGCTGGGATCTAAATTTACCCCCTAAGTGCTGGACCATTAAGCTACTACCCGCCTTTGGGTTATTCTTGTCAAAATTCTGTTATCTGTAAGTTCTCAAGATGCCCCCCACTTTTTGCATATTTCTGTGCTAGAAAACTGTGCTCCTGGAGAGCTGCGGGGCTGGCTTCGGTTCCCACGGGTTTCGGGAGAGGCAGCCCGGTCGGTCGGAAGTACAAGCTTGCTTTAATTTGATTTCAATTGGAGTTGGTGGTCTTTTCTTTGCATCGTGGTTAACAGTGCTTGGAGGGCAGGAGGACTCTCTCTAGTTTCTTCCTCCTCTTGTATGGATACTGATCCCATCAGATAGGGCCTGTCCTTAGGTCCGCACCCAGCCCTTGTCACCTGCCCTCCCTCCCATCCCGATGTACTGGGCTTAGGCTTTTGATGAATAATTTGAGGGGGAGATAACTCAGCCCAGAGAAGTCCCTATGGCTCATGACTCTCTCTGTAGAGTCAGGAAGACCCTCTTCCTGGCACAGGGTCCAGGGAGAAGCAACAGGTGACGAGGTCTGTGCAGGACAGCCTCGTCTCCAAGGTTACTTGATACTGTTTGGGCCTTCAGGGCCACCATGTGCTACGTCCTCAGGCCAAACATCACTACTACACAGGTAGTCCCTTAAACCTTTCTGCCCAACCTTGGTTTCCATGGATTTGGGTCGATGCCCCTCCTCACCCTTCCAAAATCCTGAGCTCACCTGCCGCAGCCGCTCAAAGCAGTGGCTGTATCTTATCACCTCCTCTTCCAGCTCCTGCGCCAAGTCCCTTAGATCCTCTGCCAGCTGTGCCCTGTCTCCATCCTTCAGTTTCTTCCAATCCTCGGAGAAATTGTATAAATCCCAGAGAAGGAAGAGGGCGGCCGCTCCACCTCCCTTCAAGAGAGACGTTTTTGTCATTGCCAGTGGCGTGCCCTCGAAGGCCCTTTGCACATGCCTGCTGGTTCGGGTTGACACTCGGCCACCTTTTATAAGATCCTTGGCAGCCTTGGCCAACCTTGGCTTGGCTCTGGCTGCCCGGTAGGCTTGCTTGTTCCTCTTGAGAACGCGGATGGTTTCTCCGACCTTGGAGAGGATCTCAGTAAGAGCTGTGAGACCGGCCGATTCCTTGCCATCCACCTGCTCCAGCTCTGGCTCCCTGGAGGGCTGCAGGAGGTGGGCTTGGGCTTTGACCTTTTTATTGACGGAATGTTCTATCAGGTGGGTCACAGCACTGGTGATTCCAGCTGCTGCCCCCAAAGTTTGGCTAGCAGCTGTAAGCCCCAGGCTTCCTCCTGCGGTTACTGGGGCGAGGGCAATCCCCGCAAGGCTCAGGAACCCAGAGAGGATGGCAGCAGAGGTGGCCACTATGTTGACCTTGCTGGTTATCTCATGGGTGGTGTCCACCTCGTCTGCTAGGGCGCGGAGCTGTTTAATGGCTTCTTCTTGTTTCTGTCTCCACTTGGGGAACTCATTCAAAATATCTTTTCCAAAATGTTCCCAAAGCAGCTCTTCATCATCTTCCAGATCTCCATCTAGTGGTTCCACCATCTCACACAGAGCTTCGTCCTGGTCCCTGTGGGTGATGGAGTAAAGACGGGGCTTCAACCTTCCAGAAGGAAAAGCTCAGCTCCTATTCTGGCCCCGTGGCTCAGGGTGTTCTGCTCCTCCCAACTCTTAACCCCTGGGCATCTCCCTGAAAAGTCCCCTGGAAGGTTCCAGAGTGTCACTGAGAGGTTCAACCTGTGCAGGAAGCTGCAGGGTCCATGAAGAGAAGAAATGTGGGAGGGACGCCTGGGGAACAACAGAAGGGACAGGCAGATCTGTCCTGAGGACATTTCCAGCTGTGCTTCAAGGAACCAGAGCACCATAGAGGAGGAGGGGCAGAGAGAAGATGCTAGAATGTAGGTTGAGGAAAGGAATGTGAGCCTAATGGAGGGGGGAGCTGGGTAACTAGGAGAGAGAGGAGGCCAGGCAAGAGCCACGAGTAGAGGACAATGAGCGTGCGGAGGGCCCTGGGCCAGACTGGACAGGACCTCCTGCCCGTCCACACCCTTGACCTGGGCCACTCTGGCAGCCTCTGGCTCTCTGAGAAGCTGCACACGACAGGGTCAATATAAGTCATGACTGATGTTCTAGAAGGTCTCGTGGCCCTTGGCCACTTTCCTGGCCCCTCAGCAGATGGGGCTGCTCCTTCGTGGAAGAGATTTGGAATGGGCCAGAGGTTTCCTGGCATCTCACGGGGCACGGGGCACAGGGCCAGGTGATTTGTGAACAAAAGAAATGTGTCCTGCCCAGTTCTGGAGGCTGCACGGCCAAGGTCCAGGTGCCTGCAGAGGCAGGCTTGGTGCTGGGGAGGGCTCCCTCTGCGTCAGACTTAACGGAGAGGTTTTGGACATTTAATCCCTCCCCCACTCCTTCCATAGAACACTGCAAGGGTTAAACATAGTGAATTATTTCTGGAATTTTCCACTTAACCATAAAAAGCAAAACTGGGAATATGGGGTCCTAGTGTACACTCTCAAGTCATTGCCACCCATATCAAGCTGTAGGGTGTGGTGGCATACACCTAAAACAGCTACTCAGAAAGCTGAGGATCACCAGTTCCAGGGAAGCCCCTGCAACTTAGGAAGATCCTGTCTCACAATAAAAAGGGCTAGGGATATACCTCAATGGTAGAGCACCCCTGAATTCAGTCCCCAGTGCCACTAGTTAGTGCTGGGAAAGCTTGCAGAGGGGTAAGAAGGACTCTAAGGAAAGTGACAACGAGGAAAATGGAGAGGAGCCGGCACTTCCGTGTCTCCTGCCTTCAGGAGAGGATCTGAACAGATGACTCTGGTTATAAAAGAAAAGAAAGCACTCATAAGACTTCAGAAGAAAGCCATCTGGGCAGGGGCTTGCCACCTATCCTGCATAGGACATATCCCCTAGTTTGTAGGCCTGGGGCGGCCCTGCATTGTGTCCTGGCCCTTCTTCTGTTGGGGTACATAACCAGCAGGCTGGGGCCTTAGCAGAGGCACAGGTGGCTGAAGTGGGTTCAAAGCCCCTCCCGTCCCTTTCCAGCTCTGCAGTCTCAGGACTGTCCTCGCTGCTCTCAGTTTCCCTTTTTATCCGTACAATCTCTGCAAAATGCCTGGCTCAGTAACTGCCAGGACACCTCCCTGGGTCCTTCATCAAGTAAAAAGGACGAAATAATCCTGAATCCAGAGGACGGGACGCTGGGGACTGCATCAGGAGGCGAAGTCACCTGCAGCTTCTTCCAAGAGGAGCCCTGAAGCTGTGGGGCCCCGGGTTTCTCAGGAGAGGAGCGGAGCCCGGAGCGCAGAGCCCGGAGCCCGGAGCCCTGAGCTGCACAGTTCCCAGCTGCGGGGAGGCAAAGCCCAGTTGCCCCGAGGACAGCTGTTTGTCCAGAGCCAGGGGTCAGGAGCCAACCCTTGGCACCTGCTCCTTCAGGAGCCCAGCCCCTGCCCTCCCTCTCTAACCTGAAGTCCCTCTGCTCCAGGTGTGGGGGAAAGGGCCACCACACCTCTGTGCTCACCTCCCTGAGGGTCCCTGGTGCTGCAGCAGCGAGCTGTGAACAGGGACAGAGGCAGAGGCAGTGGCCTGTCCAAGCCACCGCCTCCCAGGACAAGCCAGGGACCAGCCTAGAGGCAGGTTCCCAGAAGACCTGGGCTTTCCCGGAAAAGCACCACTGTTTCTTTCACTTTCTCGCCTCCCACCCGGACTGAGCAGGAGGCTGATTTGCAGAATCCAAGCCAGAGGCCGGCTGGGGCGTGTCCAGCGCCTGAGCAGCAGCCCGAGGCCCCTCCCCCCAGCTCAGAGAAGAGCAGAGGCGGCAGCTGCTGGACCATGTCATGGAGCCATGGGTCCTGCCAGGTGGACCTCGCAGCCTAGAAGCCACTCAGCGCTGCAGTGGGGTGAGCAGGCTGCTCAGTTCCCTTGACCTTGGCTCCGCATCTGTGGAACCTCTGGCTCTGAGCTGCTGTGACCAGGTTGTGACAGGGACACTCAGCCTGTGGATCAAAGGCCGCTGCCTGTGACAACTATAAAACCCCTTTCTCCCACCACATCTTACATAGGTACACAGCCCTGTCCCAACCCCAGGAGGGAGACTTTAGAGGGCCAGGGTCTTGCCCAGTCATTCTTCCATGCAGAGGCTCTGAGCCCAGAGACTCAAACAGCTAATTCACTCGGAGGCAAAACCTGACCTGAACTGGCACGAATTTTGTTGTGATTTTTCTGTATTCCACTTAATTTGAATATCTTTGGATACTCACTTGCATTGTGCATGGATCCTCTACAGAAATGCCTGTGTTTGACTCAGGGTGACTGCTGGGGGTTACATAATAAATGACAATCCAATTAGGAGGACATGGTTTTAAGATAAAGGAAAAAGAAGTTTTATTGCTTTGCTAGCAAAGAAGCAGCACCGGGAATTCTGTACCAATGGCCATGAATCTACCCATCAGCAGGAATAGGGGGCTTTTAAAGAGGTGTTTCCAAGGCGACATTCCACGTGTTCTCTGTTGGCATTGTAATTCACCTGTTAATTTGGGACATAATCATTGCTGAGGTCTTCTGGAACCATCCCCATAGACAGGATTACTTTATTCCTATGGTGGATGTGAACTCAGGGACAGATAACTGTGTGGGATGGGGAATAAAGCTAATCCTGTTTCCCCTGATATTAGGGAGGGGAGAGAATAGGGAGTGGAGGGAGAGAGGAAGAGAAAGAAAAATATCCACTTAAAAAAACAAGTTGTTGTGGCAGAGCAGCAAGGGCTACATTCAAAGCATGAAATGGACCACTGTTATATTTCCCCACAGTCAATTTCTACCTTCCATTTCTATGGAAAAATAGGCAACAACATCTCCAAACTCCTTTGTGCTGAAAGAGGGTGAAGTTGGGGGAAGCAACCCAAAGTCCTTGTTCTCTATCAGTTGGGGCGTGGACACTTAAAAGCACTCAGCATCAAAGCAGTCCAAAGGTCCATAGTGGCTGGTGACAGGTGAGAGGACAAGGCATACATAGGGCAGGGATCATGATAAGGCAGCAATAAACAAGGCAGCAAAGTATTACTTTCCTTGTAAACAATTAGCACAGAAGCAATTAATATTTCAGCCAGTTTCTGAAAACTATGAGCACTTATCAGTGAAAAACAGAGTTTATCAATATAGGAGGTTGAAAAGATTTATAGGTGTATGAGATCAGGCTCCAATTGACTCAGAAAAAATGTGGGACTCTAGAGTTCTTTGTGATCATTATTATTGGATACTCCTATACAATATCCCTTCCTTCATAGCCCAAAGCTTGAGGTAGGGCTGACAAAAATGTACATCTTAAGTTAAACAAAAAAACAATTGCTTTTCCTTTTTAATGTCTATGTAGGACTGTTCTTAGGCTCTACTCTCCTGCCAGGTGTTTAAGACCAGTGGGTCAAAACTGACCTTGTTCCTATCTACTCTTCAGTCACTTGAGATTCCTCAGAGATCACCCTTGGGAACATGTGTGAAGTCTCCTGGCTCCTTTAGTTTTGCTCTATCTGTGGTGCCACTTGCCAGGATAAGTCAGGGTCCAGCTGAACATATGTGGCTTCTCTTGGAAGCATCAGAGACATTTTCATTTCCACTGTCCCTCCGCTTTGCAGAATGTGCACTGGTTGGCTTCCTGTTCTCTAGGGTGCTCTCGATCTCCCTCAGTAGATCAGGTAACTCACTA